AATCTCAGTGTAAAGTTCAGATCTTTATGACAGAATGAAATTTAGAGTTGAATTGAGCAGGCCCCATACAGAATTTAGCATCAAAATTCTAGAATAACAATTATGGGTACTGATACAATAGCCTGGTCGTGTGTAGCCGATAATTTATCAAACACTTGGTGGACAAGCAGTAAAGCATCCATAAAATTAATACCAATGCAAATAAGATTGACCTATAGAGATAAGCAACCAACCACGACAAGAAATAAATATGTTTTAATCAAAGTGTCATTATCTTGTTGTGTCTACTACTTTGTCAAGCTTCCATCCATTGGCATTCTTCAGTAGTGTTCTGCCTCTTTTGCCTTCCTTCCAGCTCAAACTTTGACATGGTATCAGAGCTAATCTTGCTTCCACTAGAATCCTCTCTAAGCCATTGTTTCTCTGAACATGCAAAACAAGGCAGTAGGATTTGAATTTTTTTTTTTCCCCAAACATCACTAAAAGGACCCAACCTAAACACCCATAGAACCAGACTCACAGTCCACAGCCAACAATGAGTCCCCCACCACAAACCCAACACCAACAGGCCCACAAACTAAACTAACCCACTCATCCAACAGGCCCAAACATCCAAACTGGTCCAACCATCAAACAGAGCCCAGCCACCAACCTAGATTCAACTTTCAAACTAGCCCATTTCATTTAGGTATGGGTCAAAACCCCTACCGACGGGTCAAAACCCCTACCCGATCTTCCAATTTCTTCTAGCCTCCACCGTCAACCAGAACCAGGGGATGCCCTTTTTTCACCGATTTTCGATGGCTTGAGCTTGTGCTGGTAAAACAACCCTTGGTCGGATCTCCAAATTACACCATTGGGCTAGAGACTTCCGACGAGCTTTGGTAGCAGAAAAAATAAGGAAGGGTTCATCGATGGAACCCTCCCCAACCCACTAAACCACACCTGTCCAACACTGGATTCGGTGCAATACCCTGGTTTGCGCCTAGATCAGCAACTCCTTGAACCAGGAGATAGCGCACCTTGCCTTAAACAAAAATGCCCAAGAGATGTGGACAAACATCCAAGAGAGTATGCCAACTAGATCTTTGAAAGATCTTTACTTTATGTAAAAATCTTCTTGAAATCAAGCAACACAACTTGCCAGTCACCGTTTATTTCCTTCGACAAAGACACAATAGCCTGATATGGATCTTCTATCACCCTAGAACTTGCCGACTCTGCATCTGAGAACATTCAATATGAGAGTGACGAGTTGGCATATAATATACACATCAGGGGCGTCTTTTCAAATAACACAATATCTACTCCAAAGCTCCAATGATGAACTGTTGGGAGGCCATAAACTAACTGACAACACTTACTGAATATGCAATATCTGGACGGTACACATAAGATAGTTCAACTTCCCAACCAATCTTCTATATTTCTCAGGATCTCCAAATAGTTCACCATCTTTCGTAAGCTACACCTTAGGAACCATCGGAGCATGCATGGCTTTGCCCCCAATTTCCCTGTCTCAGTTAATAAGTCAAGCACATATTTCCTCTGAGAGAGGAATACACCCGTTTGCTCCTTGTACTTCAACCCCTAAGAAAACTTCAACATCCCTAAGTCTTTGCGTGGAACTAGGTATGGAGAAAAGACTTAAGAGATGTGATGCCACAATCATCACTCCCAGTAATACAATATCATCCACATACACAACTAGAAGAATGATGACAGTTTCAGACCGTTTGTAGAAAACTAAAGGTCAGTTTTACATTTCAGCATACCAAATCTCTCAACAGCCTGATTAAACTTTCAAAACCAAGCACGAAGACTCTGTTTTAAACCATATAGAGATTTGCGAAGATAACATACTTTCCCATACTCCCCTTGAGCAACAAACCAAGGAGGTGCTCCATATATACCTCTTCTTGAAGATCTCCATGAAGAAAAGCATTTTGATGTCTAGCAGATGCAAAGGCCAATCATAAGTAGCGCCATAGAGATAAACAACCGAATAGAGGTTAACTTAGCAACAGGGGAAAAAGATCAAAATAAAAAACTCTGTAGGTTTGAGCATATCCTTTAGCAACCAGACAAGTTTTTAACTAAGCAACTGACCTATCTGGATTAACTTTAACTGTAAACACCCATTTGCATCCAATAGCATGTTTCCCTAAACATAAATCTACCAATTCCTAAGTACCATTGTCATCTAAGGCATTCATCTCCTCTATCATCGCATTACGCAACCAAGATGAGAAGGGCTTCATGAACAGTTTAGGGATAGTAATAGAATCAAGGGAAGCAATAAAAAGAGCAGATGAAGGTGACAAATGATCATAAGAACAAAAGAAGAAACATGATAAGTACACTGCCGTTTACCTTTGCAATGAATAGGAAGATCATCACTTGAAACTGGATCTGAGACGAAAGAGTTGTGCCGGACATGAAGCAAAGGGAGGTGGACGATGAGAGTAGACTTTGATAGGAGCAAGATCAGAGTAAGAGCAATGTAGGAAGTGGCAGGAATAGGTGTAGGGTCAGAGACAGGAGCTGGTTCAGATATAGGTGCAGTGGTGGTGAAGGTTATAAACTAAAAATCATCATATCATTATCCTTGCGATCTGCATGAGAAGATGGAAAGTATGGTGTTTCTTCTAGAAAGGCAACCATCAATGGAAAAAGATATTATTAAGACTGGACAATAGCACCGATACCTTTCTAAAGTCGAGAATAACCAAGAAACACATTTAATGACTTGGGATCTAATTTAGTGATTGACTATTGAACATCCCGAACAAAGCAAGTGCTACAAATATCCTAGGTTCAAGAGAAAATAATGCTTGTTGAAAAGAATACTGTACTGGGTCTCACCATGAAGGATAGAGACGGCATGCGGTTAATCAAGAAGCAGGCGGTGGAAACTGCATCAGTCCAGAATGGTTTAGGAACATTCATTTGGAATAATAAGGCTTTGGTAGTTTCAAGAAGATGTCTGTTTTCCGTTTTGAGATGGAGTATCAACACATGAAGTTTCATGAAGAATGCCATTCTAAGTCATGTAATTTTGAAAAGAAACTGACAGATATTCTTTTGCATTATCAACTGCGCAACGTATGAACAGAAACATTGAATTGAGTTTTAATCTCAGCACAAAAAGCACAGAAATAAGAAAACAAATTAGAACGATTTTTCATTAAGAATAACCAAGTCATACGAGAGAATCATCCACAAATGTAACAAAATATCTAAAACAGTTTAGACAGAACTAGACAGGGACCCAAACATCAGAGTGAACTAATTCAAAGGGAGAATTAGCTATTTTATTGACTCTAGGACTAGAACCGACACGATGATGTTTAGCAACTGACATGACTCACACTCTAATGTAGGCACTTATTAAACTGAGGACATAATTTTTTCAGTGAAGGAAGAGATGGTGGCCCAAATGACAATGTGCTTGAAACCGAGTGCAACACTAGAACAAGCGACAGGTGTAGATTTTGGTCCGTCAGAATATATAAACCTCTAGATTCATGTCCTTTACCAATAATCTTCTTTGTCGTAAGATCCTAAAACAAGCAATAATCAGGAAGAATAAAACACAACAGTTAAGAGTACGAGTAAGTTGGCTAATAGAAATCAAATTGAAAGAAAAAAACTATAAAATGTAAGACATTTGACAAAGGAAGCTGTGGGGTAAGGGTACTGTGCCCAACCAAGAACGTAGGATGGTGACCCATCTCACTAAGTCACATTGAAAGGTTTTGATGATATGTAGCAAAGAGTGGGATTACCTAACATGGATCTGTTGCACCAGAGTCAATGAAATTTGGAGGATGAGGAAATGAGACATGTATTTGGCTTACCTGAGTTAGCCATAGCCATGACAAGAGTAGATGAAGTTTTTATGATTTAGTACAATGAAAACTAGGCAAATCTGCAGAATGAGAACTGACTAATAAGAGTATCATTGGTGGATGCAACATGGGCAGAGGGATTTCTTTTAGTTCTATTCTAAAGTTTTCTAAATCATGCTTCATGTGGTCCTAGCTTATGGCAATAGTGACAACACATTTGATAAAGTGGGCTTGGGTAGAACTCACTCCCAAAAGCTAGTCAAGGGAAGAAGGAGCCTAATCACTTATATACACTATAACAGCCCACTATTAGGGCGAAGTGGGACAAATTCAACTCTAAACACCCTCTCTCACGCTCAGGTGCAAGACCGAGGTCTAAAACCATCATCGCCCCAACCAAAGAGGGAGAGAAACAAACGTGGCTCTAATACCATGATAAAGGGGCCTTGGGTAGAACTCACTCCAAAAGCTAGCTCAAGGGAGGAGGGAGCCCAATCACTTTATAACACATAACAAACCACTATTGGGGTGATGTGGGACAAATTCAACTTCTAGCCCTCCTTTGTTGCCACTTCCAAATTGTGATTGCCCAGATTCATAGTCATTCTTTTGCTGACGAGGCACTACTAAACTGAACCGGTGGGGTAACTTCTGAGCCAAGTACCCTACTCAAGACATCCTGCAACGAGAGATTTTGGACTGGCTAGAACCTAAGACTTAGCAGTCTCAAATTCAGAAGGAAGACCTACAAGAAAACTCATAACTGCCATTTGCTTCCATTGTTTTGTTGTGACCTTTACATCAGCATTAAAGGGTAACAACATGTTCAACACTTCATAAGTCTTCTTAAACTCCATAAAATAAGCTGTAAGGGACTTATCTTGTTTCTCTGCATGATAGACTGCCTTACACACTTCTATGAATGAGAAACATTCCATTTCAAAATACAGAAATCCAAATAATCCATTAGTTCTTTAATAAACTCACAATGATTAATTAGGCCAAGTACCTCACCGTCAATAGAGTTTCGTATTTGTAGAATACTAGGCATCATCTCGGAGCATGTCTTTTCGACAATCCTTAGGTGGATATCAGTCATATGATCATTCTTATATACTCTATAAATACGTCTAACAGTTTTATGCTAATTTAAACATTGACAAGAGTGGGGAAGCTGAAGATCTGGTTGATGTTCTCTTGAAAGTTCAACAGCATGGTGATCTTCAATTTCCCTTAACTATGGACAACATCAAAGCAGTGGTCTTGGTAAGTCAAATCAATTAGTTTCCATTTACTTTGTTTGATATTTTCTTTTTTAAGCCAATATTTTCCATGTGAGCACAATTTGACAAACTGTTATACTACTTGATTAGGCACGCACTAGCCTTAAATGCATAGCTTAAAGTAGTGGTGATGATGAAATCTGGAAATTGTATTTAGGGGACCAAAGTTCAGAGTTGGGAAAATAAAGGAGCAAAGAGAATACGTAGATGTTAGGCGGTAAAATTGATACATTTTAAATGTAAATTTTCAAAATTTCCCTTGGACCTGGGTTGGCCATGGCTCCCAAAGCCATAACGTGGCCTACCATTACCATCACGCTTGTTTATAGAGCCGACGATGGACTGTGCCATGCCATGGGACAAAAAAAGCACGGTACAATAATGCACAACATAAAAAAAAAAAAAACAGCACGGCATGGCATGGCCCACGATTATGAGGGCCATGCCATGGGCCTTAAAAAAGGCACGTAGGCTAACACGGGACGACACAAAAAAATAAAAAAAGAATTTAAAAAAAATATTAATCTATGTTTACATATAAGAAATATTTGAAGATTTTAAAATTTTAAAAATTAATGAAAATGAAAATGTATAATAATTCTTAATCCTAATTTCTAAGTTTGTATTTATAATTTATAATTATAATTTAGAAGTAATAATAAGTGTTGAAATTCAGTTAATATTTCAATGTCTCATTATTTTATTATAGTTCATAGTTCATAGTGATTATTTATTTTTTAATTAATATAAATACAAAATGTAACTAAATATAATATATAAAATATTTTTATAATTTATAAATATTAAATATTTTTACAAAGGACACGGGTAGGCCCACAGCATGGCCTAGGGCACGACACAATATATAGTGAGTCATATTATGGGCCTTCAAATTTGGTGGGCTGGCACAGCATGACAAGACACGAATTTTTGCGGGCTTTGGCACGACTCGGTGCATAGCATGATAAGTCTTGAATTTTTAAGCACAACACGACTCACCGTCAGCTCTAGTTTATACTAAATGATGTCATGGTAGTTTTTAAGACTTTGAAACGTTGAAGAAAAAAATTGTGGCTCAGTTCAAATCATGATGTAGAATTTATTTATTTATTTGCCTTTTTTTATTTTTTTATTTTTTTTGGTGGTATAAATTTGTCCTTCAGCTGAGATCTATTCATGAATCCTCTTTCCAGGACATTTTTGCTGCTGGTGGTGAGACATCTGCTACAACTATAGATTGGGCAATGTGTGAAATGATGAAAAATACAAGAGTGCTAGAGAAGGCACAAGCTGAGGTGAGGGAAATCTTCAATAGAGAAGGCAAGATCGATGAAACTAGCGTCGATGAAATGAAATACTTGAAGCTAGTAATAAAAGAGACTCTAAGACTACATCCTCCGGCNGTCTTCCAAAACACCAAGGAGATTAACTCTGGCAAACTCGGACCCACCTGGGAAGGCCCCTACAAGATAATCAAAGAAGCAGGGAAAGGCGCTTACAAACTCCAGACCCCCGAGGGCAAAGACATCAACAACAGTTGGAATGCCGTTCACCTCAAACGTTACTACTCGTAGGTGAACCCTGTCCTTGTTGGGAATCTTGTTTTTCGTTTCTTTTCATTGTTAATAAAAAAGATGAGTGGGCCTATCCACCTCCTCTTAGACAGTCGGCTTCATGGCCAGATATTTAATGAAGTATTATTCAGTAATTATCATCTTCAAATCGACCACCGGTCGACAAATTACTGACACCTTCAAATCGGCCATGCCCGACATACATACGGACACCTTCAAATCGGCCACGCCCGATATACGTACGGACACCTTCAAATCGGCCACGCCCGATATACGTACGGATACCTTCAAATCGGCCCTGCCCGATATACGTACGAACACCTTCAAATCAGCCCCGCCCGATATACGTACGGACAACTTCAAATCGGCCCTGCCCTATAAAACGGACGGACACCCTCAAGTCGACCCAGTCGATGAATTACTCACACTTGAATCGACCCCGCTCGACTCTCGAACACCTTAAGATCGGCCCTGCCCGATCCAAAACTTGGCACCTTGGGACCGGCCCTATCCAACCCAGAAACTGAACTAAAGAGGCACCGCCACCCATCCAGGGGACTACACACTCGGTCAACCCAACCGAATGAATGATTCCTATACCGTTGTGTTGGGTCAGCACCAACCCAGCCCAACATAAGGCCTACGTGCCTTAGCCATCAGGCCACGATGAGGTAACATGCACAAAAATAAGGGAGAGAAACAAAAGAACAGGTCATTCATCCAAAGAGACAACATGAGAAGCCAGAACAGTCAAAAGTAATATATATGGCGTCAAACGCCCCAGTTCAGAATACAAAAAATGGCATAGACGCCAGACAAAAGGGCATCGCAGGCCCCAAAACACAAAAAGGAAAAGGGGGAAAACACTAAGCATCCTCGGCACGAGTCTCATCCTCCATCAAATCAGTCTCCACGCAAGCACCACTAGTGCTCGGCCCCGCAGCCAGGTCGCTCACGTCCTTAACACCCGGCTGACTAAGCTCAGGTGCCTGCTCCTCGTCCTGTCCCACCGGATGACTAGTTTCCTCTTCCAACAACTCTTGCATGAGTAGAATGTCTTCATCCAGATCCCAATGAGAGGTCCGCCCTTCCTTAAACTAAAGCATGAGCTTGCCTTGGGCCTTAATGATGGCGTCATCAGCAATGGAGATGCACTACTCCCTGAGGGACTCAACCTCCGCGGTTCTCTCGGTTAACTTGCGCCGTAGCCTCTCGACCTCGGCCTCACTATCCCTGAGGCGTTGCTGACTCTCCTGTTCGGCCTTCTGGGATGCTGCCTCCTTCTGCCGCAAACCAGCGTTGGCCTTGGATACATCCTGTATCCGCTTCTCCTGCGCCACGACAGACTTCCTTAGATGGAGACTGCTAGTGAGTACCTGCACAACAAAATTGAGCAATGAGAACACAGTCAAACAAGAAAAATGAACAAGTACTGCCATACCTGAACGGTGCGGGATACACCCCAATCAGCGGCAGTAACTGCACCCATCTTGTTCAAGCGCGCCTCGTCCGCTGGGAACAAGAAGGAGTCAGCCAGCTTACTCATAGATGTAGCGTCATAGTAAGTCGACGCAGTAGTCAGAATCGTGATGGTAATAGTCTCGGCCTCCTCATCCATAACGGCAGCCTGGGACGACCTGACTCCCGTCGAAGGCTGCTGACTCGATGGCTGCCGACTGGGCGGCGTCGCTAATACATCCTCAACCCTCGCATCCGCACTTACCAACGACTCCCTCTTCCTTTTCTCTCGACGCCTGGCGATGGATTCGCTCGCGCTTGGGACAGTCAACTTCTTCATCAGCGACTCTGCAAGTGCAAACTCTCCAACGGTTAGTGGGTTCAGCCCGGACTCACCAAAAATGATATGGTTGCAGTATCAACNTTCTTCCAACACAGCACACTACTCTTCCTTGGCGCCAAAAAACAACTTCAAACAACCAACCCTTGAACATTGCATTTCCAACAAAATATCATGATTTCAACACTCCTACTTGATACTTTTACTGGAAACACCAAGTTTTAGCCTTAAGTCTTCAAACTTGGCTTTGGACAAGGCTTTTGTCATAATGTTAGCAATCTGATTTTCTCTTTTGCAATGCACCAAACTGAGTTCCCCACATTAATTGTTCAGCGTCCCTCATGGCATGATACTTGATCTTAATGTGCTTGGTTTTGCTGTGGAGTACAAGATTTTTGGCCATGGCTACAGCAGACTGATTGTTACAAGAAATTGTGTTGGACTTCCCTGAGTTTGCTTCAAATCATCCGTGATTTTCCTTAGCCATACAACTTGGTTCACGATAGCAGCAGCAGAGATGTACTCTGCTTCTACTGTGGACTAAGCCACAATCTCTTGCTTCTTTGACAACTAACAAACTGCACCTGAATTTATGTAAAACACATAACCAGAGGTGCTCTTCAGGTCATCAAGGGATCCACCCCAGTCACTGTCAATGTATCCCAACAGCTCCAAATTTTCTGATTTCTTAAACCAAATACCAACCATTGTGCTCCCTTTCACATACCTCAAAACTCTCTTGGCTGCTCTAAAATACAGCTCACTTGGATTGCTCATGAACCTAGAAAGGTAACTTACAGTAAACATGAGATCAGATCTAGTGGCTGTAAGTTACAAAAGGCAACCAACCAGACTTCTATACTGACTTTCATCCACTCTTTCTGCACCATCCTCTTTGCTCAGCTTTAGGTTGGGAACCAATGGAGTATCCACAGGTTTACAACCTTCCATGCCAAACTTCTTGAGTATCTCACTTGCATACCTCTGTTGGCACACAAAAATTCCATCTGCAGACTAACTTATTTCCATACCGAGAAAGTAAATCATCAATCCTAAATTAGTCATTTCAAATTCATTTTGCATGGCTGTCTTGAACTAATTCAATTCTTCAGAGTTGCTTCCTGTAATCAGCAAGTCATCAACATACAATGAGACCACAGTCAAGCCACTTTCAGTCTTCCTAACATAGAGTGTATGTTTATTAGGACTCCTTGTGTATCCTAAGTTACATAGGTGGTCATTTATCCAGATATACCAGGCTCTAGGAGCTTGCTTTAGGCCATAGGCCATACAAAACCTTCTTCAGCAGATACACCTGGTCCTCTTTACCTCTAACCTTATAGCCTTCTGGCTGTTCCACATAGATCTCCCCAGTAATCCAGCATTCAAGAATGCTGATTTAACATCCAACTAGAAAATTTTCCAATCAAATTGAGCTGCAAACGCAAGTAACAACCTAATGATGTCGCAAAAGTATCAGAAAAATCAACCCTTTGTTGTTGTGCAAAACCTTTAACCACAAGCCTTGACCACAAGCCTTGCCTTGTGTTTATGGACTGATCCATTAGGATTTACTTTCATCTTGAAAATCCGCTTCACTTGGATCACCTTTCTATTTCCTAGTCTATCAATAAGTTTCCAAGTGTTATTCTTTTCTATCATTGAAAGCTCCTCATGCATTGCAGTTTTCCACACTTCTGACCTTGCAACTTCATTGTAATTCCGGGGTTCAAACATAGCCAAATTGCACCTTTCATACACTTCAGCTAAGGATCTAGTTCCTCTTACTGAAGGTTCTTCCTCTTCATCAGAATCTGCCTCATTAATCAGTTCCCTTGTTGGCTCTTCCTATCTTGGCTTAATTCCTTCATCTATTCTCTTCTCTTCCCAGTTCCATACTAACGTTTCATCAACCCTTACATCCCTTGTAATCATAATCTTCTTGGACTTAGGAATATAAACTATGTAACCTTTTGATTGATTGTTGTACCCTATAAAGATACCTATCTCAGCTTTGTCATCCAACTTGGTTCTCTTGCTTGCTGGAACCATGACATAGCAAATACTCTGAAATACTCTTAGGTTGCTCACTGCTGGTTTTATTCCACTCCACGCTTCAACTGGAGTTTGGTTATTGACTGTTTTAGTTGGTAGTCTATTCAGGAGATAAACTCTTGTATTAACAACTTCAGCCCAAAACATCTTGGGAAGCTTCTTCTCTGCCATCATACATCTTGCCATCTCCATGATGGTTCTGTTTCTCCTTTCACTGACCCTATTCTGCTGTGGGGTATAAGGAGTAGTAAACTGATGCAAAATTCCAACTTCTTGGCAAATTGAGCTAAACTCACTTGATGTATATTCTGTCCTATTGTCACTCCTTATAGCTTTGATCATTGTTCCAGCTTGATTCTTCACTAGAAGCTTGAATTTTCTAAATACAACAACTACTTCACTTTTTTGCTTCAAGAAATACACCTAGGCCATCCGAGAGAAATCATCAACAAACAGCACAAAGTATCTACTTCCATTTAGAGATTCAGTCTTCATGGGACCACACACATCAGTGTGGATTAGCTGTAGTTTATCATTGGCTCTCCAGGCATGATTTGATGGAAAAGATGGCATGTTGAGTTTGCCAAGCTGGCAAGCTGTGCAAAGTTTTTTCTTCCCTTCAATTTCAGGTAGGTATAGGACCATGTCTCTACTTCTAAGTTTTTTAAGACTTATGTAGTGGAAATGGTCAAGTCTTTTGTGCTAAAGATCAGATTCTTCAGACTTACTGGTTAGTGCATAATTTTATGATTTTTTCCACTCAACCGGGAAGCTCTTTCCCAGCATCCTCACACTCATCAACTTATTTTCCTCACTATCTAATATGACACATGATTGGTTTTGAAAGTGCAAGGAATAATTCTTTTCTAGCATTTGTCCTACACTTAATAAGTTTTGAGTGATTTCGGGTACATATAAAACATTTGAAATAACTTTGGTACCTGATTGTGTTAGGACAACAACATCACCAATTCTATTCACCCCCACATAGTCTCCATTTCCAATTTTAACTCTAGAGCAGTAAGACTTGTCCAGCTTGATGAAATTCTACAAATCTGCTGCCATGTGGTTGGTGCAGCCATTATCTATTAGCCACACTTCATTGCTGGCATGAGTTGTGTAACAGGAAGCTACAAACAATTGTTCAGACTCGTGGCCTTGTTGTTGATCTTCTACAGCCTGAGCTTGTTGTGGTGACTGGGTAACTTTGTTCTAGCGCATTTTCTCAATGTGGCCAAATTGTTTGCAAGCTCTACATTGAGTTCCAAGCATAAACTAGCACCTGTTCTCTGAGTGACTCTTTTTCTTGCAGTGGGGACATTGTGGATAACCCCTTGTTCCACTTGATTTACCCCACTAACCACTGGTCTTTTCTTTCCCTTTTTTATCTCCGGCATACCTTCTATTATTCCCTTGCATATTCTTTCTTCTTTGAGCTGCCATCATAACACCTTCATTAGCATCCTCCAGCCTCATTAATCTTCTTTGTTCTTGAGCTTGCAATGCATGGACCAACTCAGTAAAGGTGATTTGTGGCAGGTCTTTGGAATCCTCTAGAGAGGAAATCTTTTATTCAAACCTCTTGGGCAAGTTCACTAGCTCTTTTTCAACAATCATCTTGTCACTCATTTCCACTCCAAGTAACCTGACCTTATTAACCACACTCATAAGTTTTTCCACATATTCTTTCACTATCTCAACTTCTTGTATTCTCAACATCTCAAATTCCCTCCTCAAGTTCATCACTTGCATATTTCTCATTGTGTCACTTTCCATGAACTCCTCTCTCAGCTTATCCCATGCTTCTTTTGCTATTTCACATGCCATTGTCCTTGTAAACACAAGGTTTGTAATAGTCGAATGAATGTGAGATAAAGCCCTTAGAGCCTTTAACATTTCTTCTTCATACAGCCTCATTTGATTCAGAGTGGGATTTGGACGTAGCTAAGGAGGTTGTTTCTCTTTTTCAACGTATTGCCAGAGCCCTTGCCTTCTTAGATAGGCCTTCATCCTAATAGCCCAAATATGGTATTGCTCACCATTGAAGACAGAAGGTGAAAGGGAGGCTGACTGAGATACCATAGATGTAGGGTTATGTGACTTGGAATAGAGTTGTTCTTTAAGAAAGCTGGAGGGTGACAAAGGTTCAAGATTAGTTTTGAGATTTTATCTAGAGGTCTGGTGAGATGGCTTTGATACCATTTTGTTGGTTTGAATGCCAGATTATACTAAGAGAGAAAAAACCGAAGAGAACAAGCTATATTCATTGAACAATTAAGCACAACTTATATACAATATAATACTTGCAGTCCACTGTTACAACCCCTATATCAGGGACCTTTTGGCATGTTTAAAACTAAGCCAAACAATGTGAACTAATGCATTACAATTAAGGGACATAAAGCCATATTTCCGGCTACATCTACCTAATTACATCACAACACAAAATATAATCTAGCTTCCCCTAAATTACTTCTTCCAGCATAGCGTACTGCTCTTCCTTGGCGCCAAAAAATAACTTCAAACAACCAACCCTTGAACATTGCATTTCCAACAAAATATCAAGACTTCAACAGACATACCCATCAAAACCAAAGTCATTATTAACGCATGGGCGATAGGAAGAGATCCAGAATATTGGAGTGAACCAGATATCTTCAATCCAGAGAGGTTCCTTAATCATTATGTGGATTACAAGGGGACCAGTTTTGAGTACATTCCATTTGGTACCAGTCGGAGAATATGCCCAGGAATGTCAATTGTTCTAACTAATGTTGAGCTTCCTCTTGCAATGTTCCTCTACCATTTTGATTGGAAACCTCCCAGTGGGACGAAGAATGAAGATTTGGACATGACCGAGGCCTTTGGTATAACAGTTGGAAGAAAAGAAAACCTGCAAATTATTCCCATTCCTTATCATCCTCTACCTTCTTCATGAGGAAAAAAAATAATAAATAAATTCTAATAATATAAACCACCCATGGTGGCATGATAAGGAGTGAATTACTTAAAAAGTATTAAATTCAATTTCTCTCGATTGCTAATAGGGGGTCACTATAGGAGGGTTTATCTGATCTTTACTTCAAGATCCCAAAGACTAAAAAATAATATTATACAATCTAAGTTATTGGTCACTTTGTATGAAAGAATTTATATTTTAGTTTGGTCACTAGCTTGTATGAAAGAATTTATATAGTCTCTATAAATTAGTATTATTCACTTCTTAATGTTGGGACCAGATTCTTGGAGATTCAGACAAATATCACGATGCAATTATAGATAGAGACATCGTTTGCAAATTATCTTGAAGTTGATGGAAAAATATTATTGTTTATTTTACATGGATATAAATTATTGAATTCAAAAATATCCTTGCGAGATGGTCCAGCTAAATTCTTTTCATTATTCAGCAAAGTATAAATTAAAGGTATTTAAAGAAGGGTCAAGAACACTCATAATCCTATCATCTCAATTCTCAATCTTCTTTTTTAATTTCTCTCATGGAGCTGGCTTTTCCCAACTTCGCAATCCTTCTCGCCTTTCTTCTCTTTCTCGTAATGGTCCTGAAAATAGGAAAGAGATCCAAAACCATTGACAAAACTTTGCATTTGCCTCCAGGGCCATTGAAATTACCTCTCATCGGAAATTTGCACCAGCTGGGAGGCTCCCTACCCCATCACAGATTAAGAGGTTTGGCCAGGAAATATGGACTATTTATGCACCTACGGCTCGGGGAACTTTCCACAGTGGTTGTTTCGTCTCCGGAGTATGCTAGAGAAGTTATGAAAACCCATGATATAAACTTTGCGTCAAGGCCTAAGATGCTGGCAACAAGTATCCTGAGTCATGACTCTAATGATATAATCTTTGCACCATATGATGATTCTTGGAGACAATTACGAAAAATTGCATGTTGGAGCTTTTTAGCGAGAGAAGAGTCCAGTCTTTCCGATCAATTAGAGAGGAAGAGGTGGCTTCTCTCATTGATTGGATTGCTTCAAAAGCGGGATCGCCAATCGACCTTACAGAGAAAATTATCTCACTGATTTATGGTATCACTTCCAGGGCAGCCTTTGGCAGCAAATCCGAAGATCAAGAATTATTCACATCATTGACGGAAAAAACTGTAAAAGTGACGGCAGGTTTTAATATTTCAGATCTATTTCCTTCCACTAATTTTCTCCAATGGATCACCGGAATCAAGTCTCAGGTAGAGAAGCTGCATCAAGAAGCTGATAGAATAGTTGAAAAAATTATAAATGACCGCAAGAAGAGACGGCAAACGTTAAACATTGACAAGAGTGGGGAAGCTGAAGATCTGGTTGATGTTCTCTTGAAAGTTCAACAGCATGGTGATCTTCAATTTCCCTTAACTATGGACAACATCAAAGCAGTGGTCTCGTCAGATTTGTAGGCCACTGCCGTCGCGCTTGTTTATACTAGAGGATGCCATGTTAGTTTCTAAGACTTTGAAACATTGAAGAAAAAAACTCGTGGCTGAGTACAAATCATGATGTAGGATCCCTTTTTTTTTCTTTTTTTTTTTTTGGTATAAACTTGTCCTTGAGCTGAGATTTATTCATAAATCCTCTTTGTGGATTAAAGTGTCAGAATTCAGAAGTTGAGGGCTTAGCCAGTATTTAGCTAAGGAAAAACAAAAAACGCTGTCGTTTTTGCTTTCTCTCTTAAAGAGAACGAATGTCTCTGTATTTTCACTTTCCTTTTTCTCTCCACGCTCTCAGCTACTGACTTACTTAAAGTAGCAAACCCTTACTGTATTGTTGATTCATTCAATCAAACACACAAATTGAAGCTTTGATTTCTTTTAATTTTTCTCTCAATTTACGATTTTCACTCTCTTTTCAGGATATTTTTGGTGCTGGTGGTGAGACAGCTGCTACAACCATAGATTGGGCAATGTGTGAAATGATGAGAAATACAAGGGTGCTAGAGAAGGCAAAAGCTGAGGTGAGGGAAGTACTCAATAGAAAAGGCAAGATCGATGAATCAAGCGTGGATGAAATGAAATACTTGAAGCTAGTAGTAAAAGAGACTCTAAGACTACATCCTCCGGCGCCTTTGTTAATTCCTAGAGAATGTAGACAGAATTGTGTGATTAATGGATTCGACATACCCATCAAAACCAGAGTCATTGTCAATGCATGGGCAATAGGAAGAGATCCAGAATATTGGAGTGAACCCGAGATCTTCAATCCAGAGAGGTTCCTTAATCATTCAGTAGACTACAAGGGGACCAGTTTTGAGTACATCCCATTTGGTGCCGGTAGAAGAGTTTGCCCAGGAATGTCATTTGGTCTAGCTAACGTTGAGCTTCCCCTTGCGATGTTTCTCTACCATTTTGATTGGAAACTTCCCAGTGGGATGAAGAATGAAGATTTGGACATGACAGAGGCCTTTGGTATTAACAGTTGGAAGAAGAGACAACCTGCACATTATTCCCATTCCTTATCATCCTCCACCTTCTTCATCAGCAAAAAAAAGAAACAAATAAGAAACACATAAATTGTTACATTCTTTCTTAGTGTTTAAAACAACTTCATTGTTCATAAATAATTCACAGCGGTAGAAAGATGGGGATTAATAAATCTGTGTAGAGAGACTTGGTAGTGTGACATTGTGCTGATCTAACAGAGCATTACAATTTGCTTTTGTATTAAATTGAGATTTCTTCTGGCACTTGCAAGTATTTATGTCAACTTATGAAGTTATACGTGCACATTCAATTTTGATGTTTGCACATTTATTTGATGAAGCACACAATCGTGTCTGTTGTTTACACATGTTGTAACATTCTACATAAATGTGTGCATATTTCCTTAGTCCAAATTTATTGTAAATGTATGGGCATATTTGAGTTAGTTGTGTAAACATTTTTCCAGCCAGACTTTTAATACAAATTTCAAGTTTTCATTGGTTGTTAAGATGTTTTCCAGTTTTGAAATATACCTGAGTGATCCAAATACAAGTGTATGATATTTTATCCTGAGAGATTTTCTTAATAGTTCACTTGATTTCAGGGGGACAGATTTTGAGTACATCCCATATGGTGCCAGGAGGATCTGTCCAGGAATAACGTTTGCGGTATCAATCAAATATGGAGCTGCCACTTGCTCAACTTTTGTACCACTTTGATTGGAAGCTCCCAATCCTGAAGATCAAGACATGACTGAGGCCTTGGGTGTAGGAGTAAAGAGGAAGAAAGACTTGATGTTGATTCCCATTCCTAATTGTTCTCCTTCATCACCGATTAATATTGCATAAGAACATGGATTATGTTCTATATAGAGCCATGCATGATAAAGATACAATTAAAAGAAAAAGATTCGATAAATAAAGTATATTATTTTCACAAAAAAGAAGAAAATTATTCCCAATTTCAAGGATTAGATGTAAATGTCAATTAGCACAGGTTTAATCTCTTGTGTTTAATTTCTCCCAATAAGCAGTCTATTGTTTGTCTTTTCATCTCTGAAAAGATATAAGTTTTGCAGCGTGCAAAAATTTTCAATCTCTGACACATTTTTTGCTAGCTATCTCATCAGTGAGACCTCAGGAGATGACTGAGCAGGCCTTCGGCTTTCGAAAAATTGGAAGCTTCAATATCATTGAAATGAGCTCTCACATTTAAAGTCAGTCGCCAACTTAATCGGTAAAATCATATAGAACTAAAAGGGTCTCCCATAATAATAAATGTGTGCTCAAATAAATAAATACAGTATCCTTATAAATACGGAGATTCAAACCTTTGGCAGGCCAAAATAATTATAAATTAAAGAAATCGATAGAATAGTTGGTAGTGTTGGGATTTCCCTAATATCTCTTGAATATTTCATAATCTCCATGTTTTATCGGTTTTTAGGATATTCATAATGTTTTTGATATCTGTAATCTCTTAATTATGTCTATTATTGTAATTGACATAAATAGGAGATTCTATAATTGTATCTTCCTTATACAAAGCCTGACCTCTTAGTGAAAATCAATGAATTGAAAACATATAATTCTTCAATAAACAAATAGTTGTTTTTAACTTGTGAAAAATTAAAAAGAAATAACTTATTAAGTAAGACTCTCACAGTTATTAATTAGTGTTAATGTTTGGTAATCTCAAGTATTTAGGCTAATAAGATAACTTACATACATACATATATAGATAAGAGAATTTTTCTTTATGAAGAAGTCTAGATGTTGATTATGCTTAAATAAGTTGGATTATTCAGTAATGAAATGATATTTTATGAATAAAAATCCAACGATAATTAAATTGGTCTTAACAGAATTAACATAAAATGTCTTGATTAGAGATTTTTCTATAACTGTATATAAATATTTTTTTTTTATAGATAAATCTAGTGATATATAACTATAGTCTTGACAAAATTAATGTCAAATATAATTAGACTAGAATTATATATATATATATATTCGTGTGATGTTACAATAGCCATATTCATATGCTAATTAAATTCCTTGGTTTACTAACACCAACTCTACCATAAGAAAAGTATCAGAGCATGCATAGCTAATACCTGGTCCAATCAGCAGCCAATAGAGTGTGGAAATATAGCATTGTGTGGCCATGGCCACTCGGCCCACAATTTTTATAATTATTTTTTTGACTTTAAATTTTATATATATAGTCCCTATAATCAAATTGTTACACTCCACCACCCTAGGTTTTGAACTTAAAACTCTAGACCCTACAAATGTAACTTTTTATTGGGCCCTCTATGCATTAAAGATTACATTTTGACCCCTCAAAGTCAAACCTTGCCCCTGCATCTATCCATCTACAAACTCTTCTAGAATACATAGATTTCGACGTATTTGTGTGTTGGTGATTTCAAAGTGTTTTGCTGAGAGGAGAGAGAAAGTTAATGAAATATGTCAATGAAAGAGGAGACTAATTAAAAGAAACAAGATATTTATATACATTGAACCTAATTCCTTTTGACTAAATGACCATTACCATAATTAAATTTAGTTAAAAAATGAGGTATTTATGTATTGTCGAATGTTATAATTATAATAACTTTCAACTTCTTCATTATTTTATGTTTGATTTTTTTTCAAGACTATTTCGTCCACCATTGTCAATGGGATCCGGGGCCACAGAAATTTTGCCACCCCCTTTAATACTCTCACCATTGCAAGAGGTTCTGACTATATAAATCCCTCTGGATGTTTAAATAGTAGGTGGATTTCACACATATTTAACCAATATTATTTTACATATTTTTCTCTATTCGTTGAATTAACCATTGAAGAGATTAGGCAAACAAACACACAAACTCTTGGTAAAAGGTAAAAATGTATAGTAAATCTAATTAATTATATCGAAAATAGTTTTTTTTTTTTTTTTTTAAACTCAATAAAAACGTGGTTTTAATTAATTTAATAATAGAAACAGTATTATAAACTGACCAGCATGATCCCTAATTTACATATCAATGGCTGGAAAAATTGATTCCCTCTGATAAGCATGCATCACTTATTCAACTAAGAATATCTAGTTAGTACCCCCATCGATTATCTTGAAGAAAACTCCATGGCCTCTCAGTAGCCCCACTTGCTTGATATAAATTAAGCTGATATATTCCGTATATGTCTTATTCAAATTATTATCTCTCTCTAACGAATGTACACATTTCGGTACATGTTTTCTTAATCATTAAAAACAATAAATCATGTTTTAATTAATTTAAGATAATAGTAATAGCAGAAGTGGCCAGCATGATCCCTAATTTACATATGAATATCTTGAAAAATGGTTTCCTTTTGAAAAACATGAAACATGCATTCTTTTCAACTAACATAGTCTCTTTTAAGAAAAAATTGTTACATTCTTTCTTAGTTTTTAAACAACTTTATTGGTCGTAAATAATTCACACGGTAGAAAGATGGAGATTAATAAATCTCTGTGTGAAGGTGAGACTTGGTATGACATGAGGAAACTTGCTGTGACATTGCGCCGATCTGACAGACTTTTACATTTTGCTTTGGTACTAAATTGAGATTTCTTCTGGCGTTCAACTTCCTTATACTATGGTCCAATACAGAGATTTCTTTTGGAATGGGAATTGCTTGAAATATTGTTATCTTTCTTTGTTTTGGATTTTCTTATTCATCAAGGATAAGCAACTGGTAGAGCTCGTCTTTTTATCAAATATAGGTGAGTGCATTGGGTTATCTCAATTCAAACTGCTATTTTACTAAATGTAGATGGATTAGCCTCATTTATTGAAGATTATTAGATAAATTTTTATTTTATTTGATATGCTCAGTGATGGTAACAACAGCCAGCAAGACAAATTGAGACTTTTATCCGAGAGTTTCTTAATAGTTCAGTTGATTTCAGGGGCACAGATTTTCAATACATCCCATTTGGTGCCGGAGGAGGATCTGTCCAGGAAAACGTTTGCGCTATATCAAATATGAGCTGCCACTTGCTAGCTTTTGTACCACTTTGATGGACGCTCCCAATCCTGAAGATCTAGACATGACTTAGTTGGGTGGGAAAAAAGAGGAGAAAGACTTGATGTTGATCCCATTCCTTATTGCTTTCCTTCATCACCGATTAATATTGCATAGAACAGGGATTGTTTCTATAAAGAGCCATGCATGAAAGATACAATTAAAAGAAAATTCGACGTTTTTTTTTTTTTTTTTTTTTCTTTTTGATGACTGGGAGTATCCGAGCAGCTACGTGCACCTTAACTAATCCTTCAGGACCTTGAACTACCAGCCGGTACGAGCTCCATTGGCCACCTCTATTAACAACAATGGGGACTCGAGCGCAGGAGACCGTGTTAGATCCCCTCTTGCTCTTTTACCCCAAAGGGACTTGAATTTGAAAGACCATTTAGATCCTCCTCTTAGGAGCCATGTTAAATTCCTTTTTGCTCTTTTACTATTAAGAGGACTCGAACTTGGAGACCATATTAGATCTTCTTTGCTCTTTACTATAGGTCATCCAATGGTAGTTATTTGACTCTGAATCTACTGAAAAATGCATATTCTAATATTTTAATTACAAATAATGTATATTTATTTCACAGAAAAGAAATTTATCCTAAGTCTAGGATTAGATGTAATCTCATTAGCAAGGTTTAATCTCTTGCGTTTAATTTCTACCAATAAGTGTTAGGGCCAAAAATCGTCCTTGGCCCAAATAGGGAAATAGGACCATTAGCGAAGACGACCGGCCCAGTCCTACAAGGCCCAAGCCGGTTAGTTCTACTTTGACATGAGGTATAAACCGGTCCAAATCACGGGGCACGAGTCTCTAAACCTAGTCCATTTCCTAGGTCCACGGACGAATCCAGAGCCCACAGCCCTTTCATAGTACTTTCCTACTCCTAGTCAACTTCCTATTCGGACGCCTTCCTATTCCTGATCACTTTCCTACTTAGCGATTCTCCTAAACAGGGTCACCTTCCTATTTGGACACTGGTAAGACAACTCACCCACGACCTAATTCTTCTAGGGTTTGCATCGAGTCACACTAGGACTCCTGCTCCCACCAGATTGGGAGACCAGACGCCACTATATAAGCAGAGGCCAGCCCTCTCACAAGGGCATCGACATTCAACCTCCACACCCGACTCTTTACTTAAGTTCGCTTATTCCCGTAGTCACAGTCCCCGACTAGACTTCCGGTAATCTCTCATTCCCTAGCCCTCACTATATTAGCCTTTTAGCCTTGCTGACTTAAGCGTCGGAGTGCCTACGGCAAACACCACCCTGGTGTTTCCCGTTCGCTTCACGCATATGTTTTCTATGTGTGCAAGTACATTAGATCGCTAGTGGCCTCAACCTCGCGGAATCAGACCCCTCTTCCCGTACAGGTAGATTTTTACGCTACAGTTTGCGCCCCCCGTGGGGCCTCTAGCAATCATTCGGTGTGACACACCTAGCTACGTGGAGGAATATTGCATGGCTGACAATCCAGACGACGTTAACCGGCCTCGAGGCCAGACTGGAGCTTTGACCGCTCTCATGCAACAAAACTTGGACAAGGTGGCCGCACTGGAAGCCGAAAATACATCCATCAGGGTCGAGAACCAATCGCTAAAAGAGAGAGTAAGTCGATTCTATGAACTCGATTTTTCTGCCCGACCAAGCACCCCCCCAATCGGTTCCGCACCACTATCCCATCCATGCACCCCTCTCTACACCAAGCATCAACCCTCGATTCAGGAAAAGGCCCGCGTCAGTTTAACGCACTGGCTCTAAACTACTCCGTTCTGACTAACGAAGATAAGATACAACGTCCACGTCCATCGACCCATCCCAGCCTCATGATCAAAACGACCCAGCGTAAAAACTCGAATAGGATAAACCCCGATCCCCACCATACCACTTCACCTCCAGTCAACCCAAATACAAACCCCTTCCTGCCCGGCTCACCCTCGCGGGGTGAACGGCCAAACCAAACCAACTCCAGCTCTTGAGCCCATCCATCCCGAAAGACCGAACGACTACCAAACAACTCCCCTGACTATTCATGTAGGGAAGAACAACAGAACAGTGACAATGGGAGTCATCCAACCAGAAGGGATGAACGAAGACACATGCTACCAAGGAGCGCACGACGGACTGATCTATCAGTCCACCCCCAGAGGGATGACCCCATGAGACGTACCAGACCCGGTAAGACGGGATGACCCGGTAGTATCCCCTTCCCCTGTGGAACAGTTACTGGCTAAGAGACTGGCCGACATTGAGGCAGTAATGAGGCGTATCCCAGGAATGTCAATCCCAACCAAGAAGAGCAGACCGAATTGTTACGCCGATTCACCCTTTGCGGATGAGATCACCCTGGCTGACATGCCCCAGAAATTCACTATCCCCAACATGAAACCATATGACGGTACCACTGACCCGAACGACCACATAGCCTCATACAAGCAGCGGATGTTCACTGTTTCCATACCCCGACCGCTTAGAGAAGCATGCATGTGCAAAAGTTTCGGTTCTAGTTTGTCCGGCATGGCACTCCAATGGTACACGAACCTCCCGAACGGATCCATCGATTCATTCGCTCAGCTTACTGACACCTTTGTGGAACAGTTCGCCAGCAGCAAGAAGCTAGAAAAGTTATCGGCCGACTTGTACCGAGTATACCAACGAAGAGGGGAACCATTAAGAGAGTATGTTAGCAGGTTCAACAAAGAGAAGATCTCTATTCCCTCCTGTAACCCCGAGACTGCTGTGGACGCTTCCAGAAAAGGCCTCCTCCCAGATGGAGAGCTATACAAAGAGCTTACAAAGCTGGGCTGCACCACCATGGAAGACGCTCTGGCCCGAGCCGTTATCCAGATAAGGTAGGAGGAAGATGAGATGAACCGAGCCGCCCATTCCAGATACGAACCAAGGCGGAACGACAGGAAGCCAGAGCCTAGACCGGTAGAACACCGCTACCAACCCCCTGCACNTTATTTATACATTTTTGAGATAACCTAAGCTAGATGCAAAGATCAAGGGCTGTTACAGCTAAAAAATCATAAACAAATTATAGCTAAAATCAAGCAAAATCATATCTGTAAATTGTGGACTAAGTCTGCAGTAATCTGCAGTTATTCCAATTGATTTTGACCTGGTCTTTTGGCACCTGATATGCCAACATTTCAACACTCCTCCTTGGCATCTAGTGATGAAGGACAGTGAGTATTGCTTTTCCGGTGTTGTCAAACTTCAATGCTAGTCCTTTCATGTCAGTTTCAAGGAAGAAATGTTTCCTCTTAATTGGTTCTGTTGTTGCAATATCTCTCAACTCCAATGCTCTTTCCCAGAGGTTCTCTGCCAGCTTCTTCTTTGTGCCTGAAATAATTTGGGCATTTTCTTCTGCATATGTTGCCATGTCATTGATTGCTGCATTAACTTTCTCAAGTGTAAGCCTTCCTCTCATAAATGAGGATAGAGAATCCAGTTCATTGGTCGTTATGTACCATAATGGTGGAGAGCCACGACTCTTTTTCTCCTTGGGTATTACTGTTGGCTTGTCTGGTTTCAGTGACGCACCATCAAGTAGTTTAGGGTCTTCTGGAAGCAAACATCTAGTAGTATCCAAATCTAACATGGTCATTCTCTGAGCCAAATGTGAGGAAACATTAGACAAACATGTTTTGCAGTATCTTCCGTTGTCGTAGCCATACATCTACGAGTCTTTTAGCTTTAGGAATAGCCTTGGTCTCCTCACTCAATGGTCCTTGAGCACTCAAATTTGCAGCTCTATCGCTTTTACTCGGGCGATTACAAGTTCCTACAGCTCTGTGATTCACGTATTAAAGGAAGATATCAAAGAATCAATCGAAGCTCTTACTTTCATCACATTCATGTCTCCAGCTTCTATTCCAGAGTTGGCAAACTCTCCTTCATCCCAGTCAAGGGTACATGTTTTCCCTTTCATCTTGATACTCAATAATTCAGCACCATTAGGCATTTAGGTTGAAATATAGTGCATACATTATTCTTGAACTCTTAATAATAATCTTTTTCAAGCATTTGACCAACACTTAAAAGGTTTTGGTTGAGGTTGGGCACATACAAAACATCAGAGATCAAATTGACACCCTTGTGTGTTGTAACAACAATTGTGCCTTTTCCCTCTACTTGCATAAGATCTCCTTTGCCAATTTTTACAGTGGAGAGGTAAGAATCAGAAACTGAATTCTGGATTACTATTTTTGCCTTGGATCTTTTGGTCTTTTCCTCAATGTTGGCTTTGATTTGAGCTAGAGTTGGATCTCTGGGAAGTGGAGGAACAAGTCTATCTTCAACTATAACTTCCCAAAGATCAAAAGCCTCTAAGTATTTTGCATCTTCACTGACCAAATGGTGTATTTCTCGCCAGTGAAGACTTGAGGTGTAACCAAGGAAAGACTGTTGCTGGCCATTTGCTTGAGTGAAGTTGTGTTTGTGTTTTACTGGTTTTGATAGGTCATGTAAGACCAATAGGGCTCTGATACCAATTGTTGTAATTTCAAGGTGGTTAACTTTGCTTTGTTAATGTTAAGAGTTTTTATGGATTGAATGTAGACAATAGGCAAAGCTAATTGATAAGAGTGTAATTTAGATATTTTTATTCCTTGCATATTATGTTTTTTGTTATGTTTTATGCCTATTTGAGTTGATTATAGTTTATTTTGTGAGTTTGGCATAGTTGGATAGACTTTAGGAAATAAGTGATAAAAGATTAGGAAATTCCAGAATTGTTGTTATTCTGACCAGTGCTATGTTTTTCAGGTTTTTCAGGGAGCTAGATTCCTCGATTGCAAAAGTGTTCTTCAGAGAAATTAAAGTAGATGAATCAAGCTTTTCAGGAAGGTATTATGGGTGAGAATCCAAGTTCGTTTGGGTTCTCAGTAGTTGTTGCAAAACCAGACCTGGAATCCTAGTCGCAGAAGGATTCCTTAGCTGAGTATTGAATCTTTGANTATAATAAGATAACATGATTAATGGTATTCATACTAAAACTTATCCTATATTTTATCATAGAAAAGTTAAAAAAGAAAAATTAAAATAGTAAAGAAAAATTTAAAGAAGCTAGCTAAATATTAACATGCTTTTAAGTTTTTTTGCTTACAATTAATTTATTGAATTGCTCAGATCTCGCATTTAAAATGCTAAAGGATGATCCAGAATTAGCTGTGGCTCGTGACGAAAATTCTGAGACTGCCTTACATGTTTTGGCCCGAAAACCTTCAATATGTTCCAGCAAAAATCAAGGTCTATTCAGAAGGCTTATCAACTCGTTAATTTCTTCAACACTTAACTTCTTTTATCTGTGATTTTAGTCAACCATAAAATTAATTAGTACAAAATTTATTGCATGCTTTGATTCTTAGTCTCAGGATTAATGAAGTTGAATCACAAGAAGGATTTCGAATCAACTCAAGCTCTTCAATTAGTCAGATGCCTTTGGGATGAAATGTTAAAACAAGATGACTCAGAGCTAGTGAAACTAACACAAACACCTTCACAAATCATTTTTGAGGCAGCAAAATTCGGAAATTCCCAATTTTTGTTTGAGCTCATTTGTCGTTATCCTGATTTGATATATCAATTTGATGAAAATGGTTATAGTATATTTCACATTGCAGTTTTACACCGTCATGCCAATGTATTCAATCTGATATATGAGATAGGTTTAACTAAGGAGTTGTTCATGACTTGTGAAGATAAGGATCAGCAGAACAATATGTTGCATTTGGCTGCAAAATTACCACATCTAAGTCGAATTGGTATCGTACCAGGTGCAGCTCTACAAATGCAGCGAGAATTATTATGGTTTAAGGTAATTCAATTTTCTGAATTCAATTATTGTCCCAATTTCAATTGCCATATTTTGAAATATAACATGTTTGATATCTATAGGAGATCGAAAAAATAGTGCTACCTTCCTTCCGAGAAAAGAAAAACTTAAAAGGCCAAACACCTCAAGAGTTGTTCACTCAAGAGCATGGAGAGTTATTGAAAAGTGGAGAACAATGGATGAAGAATACCGCTAACTCATGTATACTTGTTGCAACAATCATTACCACTATAATTTTTGCATCGGTGTTTAATGTACCAGGTGGTAACGATAGTAGTAAACGATTACCTATTCATCTGAAAGAGACATGGTTTCAGGTTTTTGTCATATAAGATGCAATCGCATTGGCCTCCTCTTCTATCTCAGTCCTAATGTTTTTGTTGATCCTTACATCGCGGTATACAGAAGACAATTTTCTCGAGTCGTTACCATTTAAATTGATGGTTGGACTCTCTACTCTCTTTGTATCTATAATCACCATGATGATAGCTTTTAGCATGACCATTTTATTAGCTTATCATGATAGATTAAATTGTGTCATCATGCTTACTACTATAGTTGTGTCTACACTAGCCACTCTATATGTTCTATTGCAGTATCCTCTTCTTCTAAGAGATGTATTTTGTTCAACATACTATTCTAGGTTTTTGTTTGAGCCAAGTAAATCCCCGTTCTGATTTGCTTGATGTTGAAAGTTTATTGTATTGTATCGTCGGAACCTATTTATATTAATTAAGGTTTTTCGATTCAATTATGTGGTAACTTTTTTCCTTTTAAGCAATTGTTGTTGCAGGCAGTGGTGGTGAAATTGTATTTGAGAGGTTCATTTTCAATTTTTCATGCACAATATGATTATATAACACGTTTAGAATAAAAATCAATCTAAGCCCGATTAAATGAAGCACAAGAAAACGGGCCTGGAAGAAGCTAAGAAAACAGTCTATGATAAAGTAAATGGCCAGCAATGAAATGAGTTCAGGTACCAGTAAAATTTAAATCAGCTGAGCGCCATTATTGATTTGGGGTTAGCCATTGATTGCTACCTTTAAATAAGTGAGTTTGGGTAGGTCTGCTATGGCCAATTCCACAATGGCCAATGATGTGTCAGGTGCCTACTGTAAACATGGCTCAAATTCATATTTAACATTATAACTTACAACAAAAGTCCATGTCTATGTTATTTTTTTCTCTTTAGAGCAATTTATTTATCTTCTGTCTTTGAGAAATCAGTTTGTTGTTCTTAGTGAACATCAATGCTTTAGGTAGGGATGTGCAAAACCAGATATTCGATCCGATTTTGTATTTTTCTGATCTGATCCAAAAATTCGGATCAGGATGAAACCTGATCCAAATCTGATCCGAATTCCTTCTGATCCAGTTTTGATTCGATCTAAATATTCAGATCGGATAAACTAGATATCCGATTTTATCCAAAATTTCATGGGAAATATCAATTTGCCTCCTAAAATTTTGTATTATTCTTTAGTACCCCCTACCACATAAGCATTTCATTACATTTTGTCCCCCAAAGTTGTCATCGAATATTAGAATAGTCCACATACTTTAAGACTTTTCACCTAAGACCCCAAAATAACTTCTTAAAACTTCTTGTTATGGACAAAACCGGATCGGATTCGGATATCCCCATCTTCCAAAATTGATATCCGAATTTTTAGATATCCGATTTTTTCGGATCAGATACGGACCAGATATCAGATATCAGTTTTTTTTGCACACCCCTAGTTTTAGGATTACTTTGATGATAGTTAGGAATTGACCACAACTCTTAACTCTATATGCCCCAGATTCTCCTTAGGGTTCATTTGGTTCAAAGAATACAAAATTAATGAGAATGTTATATTAAGGGGAAGATAAATTAACTTGAAAGATTACTAGGAATGTTATATTAATGTGTTTGATTGGAAGGAATAAATTGGTAGGTATGTTATGTTTATATGTTTGGTTAGGAGAAATAAATTGGTTTCTGGTGGCTTTCTTTTTAGACTGCAGTCTACTTAATAAATAGAATGCCTACTGATGTACTGCAACATACATCTCCTTATCAGCTATTGTTTAAATTTCCTCCTTTGTATGATACCTTGAAGGTCTTTGGTTGTGCTTGTTTTCCTTTCCTAAGGGTTTTTAATAAACATAAGTTTAGTTTCCATTCAAGTAAGTGTGTTTTTGTTGGATATAGTTTGATGCATAAGGATTACAAATGTCTTAGCTCTGATGGTCGAATCTTTATCACTCCTAGTGTTAGGTTTAATGAGCATGAATTCCCTTTTTCTTCTGATTTCACCACAGTGAAACCTGTTCAGCCCGCTTCATTTGAATTCCCTTCCCCTGCATCTACATTTTTCCCTTTCATTTCCATCCATAATCCTACCAACTCAGCTAGCTCTAGTTCTCCTGGAGTAGCCTGTCCTTCAAATGATTCTCCTCCAACAAGTGGTAAGGATTTACTCTTCTCCTTGTTAGAGTCATGAAAGTGACTCTATTTTGGTGATAAAAATACCCCATGTGTGATTAAATTGAAGTATATTGAGACAATTAAAGAATTTATGAATTTATTCACGAAAATCGCTTCCTAATATTTTTCTTATGAATTTAACATGTTTGGAATGATTTTGGAAAGTATATGAGTTGATATTAGGTTGTGGTTAAGGGTGATTTTATCTCATTTATGCTGTTTAGGGGGTAAAATGTCATGTTTCAAGGGGCTGATTTTGTCATGTTTCAAGGGGTTGATTTTGTCATGTTTCAATCGTGTAGGGACCAAATGGATATTTGCCAAATTTTGTATAAAACAACAGTGCAAGTTCGCAGATCAGGTGGCTGCCGCCCACCAAAACTCTTCACCTTCTCTGATCAAGCTCTGGCGACCCTTCAACTCCTTTTCCGACGACGTTTCGGCTTCCCCTTGCTTCGGTCACCATCATCCCTTCATCACCACCGTGAAACACGCACGCCACCATGAGCTTCATCTTCCCACCACGACGTTTCATCTTCCTGTCCAGATTTGGCCGTTCCAACTACGTTTCAGCTCTGCAAGAGTCGATCTCCCTTCCCCACGGCCGGATCTAGCATTTCCAAGCTTCAGCCACCACAAAAACCGCCAGAATCCACGATTTTGCTGCCGCGCCTCTTCATCTTCTAGCCCAGATCTTGCTCATTTCAGGCGACTTCTCACCTCCCCAAGACCTGATCTGAACTCCCAATCACCAGAGCTTTCCATCGGTACCTTCGGATCCCATTTCCGCCACCGTTTTCCGGAAGACCTGCCAAAAAATTAACATTTTTCGGCGAGTGCGACTGTTCGTATTCCGGGCTGTCCGTTGGTCGTTTTCACCCCTTATTCACATCATATCGCTGTCGGTTACCTCCTCTCCGCCATGATCAGCTTCGTTTCCATCGTTTCAGCCTCCGTCATCACCACCATGAGCGACTAAGTTCCCGGTTGTCTGTTACGGCATAGGCGATATCGAGATTGACTCCACGACTCTCCTCATCAGCTCTCGACTAGTTGGATGAGCCTGATTGTAGGAAATTTGGTAGTATTGTGTTTCGAATTATATTTGTTTTCGTTTCATGTTTGATTTCGATACTTTAATATGATTTGAGCATAATTTGTGATGAATATTGTTGTCCATTGTGATTTAATGTTTTCATAGAACTTGCTGAATGATAAACGTTGGTTTGAAATAATTGAATGACGAATACTGCTTTTCATTACTTCGCATCGATGTAATTGAGTTGTGTTCGATTTAATTTCATTTCTACTGTTGTGGCATTTATGTGAAGTTGGTTGATTAGAAATACAAGTTGATAGGTTGTACTTATTAACATTGTACCAACTAGTGGTATTGTCGTATAGCGTTTATCGCGTTCAATGATAGTTTTTAACCAATCGAACTTGAGTGATCGGGTGAGACAGGATAGATTATACCTAGAGTGCCGAAAGCCATTTCATTGATTTACCTTGCCTTGGGTTTAGGGGATCGTAGAGGGTGGAGGAGAATTGTGTGAGTCAGTCTCGTGTCGAACCAAAACTGTAACGGAAACATTTTATTATAAATTCTTTATTAGTTTTAATTTCACTCTTTCATTATTTGCATTTAGTTTCCTTTGTTTTAATCAATCATTTTGCCAATTTCTCTTTCGTTAACTCAAATATACATTAGGTCATTAGTCTTGCTCTCTGTGGATTCGACCCTGCTACCGCTTACTACGGTATTTAGGTTTAATTTTGTGACTGTGATGACCAGTTCAACACTCCTCATCTATTATTCCTGTCATTCTCAATCCCATCATCCAGTGCATTTCCACCATCAAATACACTGCCTATACCTATATCATCATCCAATGCATCTCCACCACAAATACACAGCCTATACCATCATCTAGTACTTCTCTACCTCAAATACACTACCTGTACCTATACATCATCCAGTGAATCTCCACCATCCAAAACACGTCTGGTACTATCACAGTAGACTTAACAACTTCACAACTTCCTAATCGTTCAACAACTCCACTAACTTCCCAACATTGAATCAACCTATATATTTCTCAAAAACTAGAATCAGTCATACACAATTCTCAAAGAAAAACAGAACCAATCATACACAATCTCACAAAAAACTGAACCATCATGTTCCATTGAAATTGATCTGAACCTGTCCAAGTTTGCGCCATTCCAAGCTCTTCAGAGGTGCCCATAAACACTCATCCTATGGTTACAGAAGCAAACTCTGCTGCTTTTTCCCAAAACAGCATTACTAGCTGCTGCCTCCATAATACCTAAACCCAGCACTGTCCAGAAGCCTATCTAGTCATGAGTGGAAGTCAGCTATGCAAGTAGAGTATGATGCTCTAATTGCCAACCAAACCTGGTCTCTTGTCCCTTTTCTTCGGAAATGAATGTTGTAGGGAATAAATGGGTCTTTAGGACAAAGTTCAATGCCGATGGGTCACTGCAAAAGTATAAAGCAAGGCGTAGCCAAAGGTTTCAACAAACCCTCGCCTTGACTATTTTAAACCTTTAGTCCAGTAATTAAGCCTTCCACAATACGGATATTCTACTGGCAGTGACAAAAAATTGGGATATCCAGCAGGTGGATGTAAACAATGCATTTCTCAATGGCACACTATGAAGTGGTTTACATGACTCAACCTGTTGGTTTTGAAGATATTGCACAACCCACTTCAGTTTGCAAGTTAAACAAGCCCTTTATGGACTAAGCAGGCTCCAAGGGCCTAGTTGACAGCTTAACAAGCTCTTCTACAGAAAGGCTTCGTTAATTCTGTATCAGATTCGAGCATGTTCATCTGCATCAAAATGGTCAAGTCACTTACATTTTGGTTTATGTCGATGACATATTGTTACCGTTCAGATTGTCCTACTAAAACAGTTAGTGCAGAGCTTAATGACCAATTTGCACTCAAACACTTGGCTCAATTCATTTTTTTTAGGGCTGGAAGCAACAAGGACGGCCACGGGTTTACATTTAACAGTCCAAATATGCTATGATTTACTTGCCAAGACAAATATGTTAGAAGCTAATGCATGTGCTACTCCTATGGCTACTAGTGCAAGACTGTTTTCAGGAGATATGATCTGTTTTCTTATCCCAGCCTATTTAAAGTACTGTCGGAGCTTTACAGTATTTGACTTTAACTAGACCAGATTTGAGCTTTACAGTTAATAAGT